TGCAAGTATGTATTCACGTAATTTTACTCACGCGCAATCTCTTATTACAGTTATTGAATCTTTCAATGACACTCGAGCCTGTTTTTTTTAGGTTTTTCCATAGGAGGCCAAGCGAATGTATTGGCCCAAATCAATCAAAAAAATTTCAAAGATTTGTAACCATTTAAGTTTATTTCGAGCTCTCACAGAAATTTTTTCATTAAGAAAACTAGTTTTTCAATCTTCTTGCATGTTTACAAATTACGTATGTTTATTATTATGAAAAAAGACAACAATATGAAAACAACAATATGGGCCTTGGGTAGCCTAATGGTTACACCATCGGACTCCGGACCGAAAGGCTGGGCTCGATGCCCGTGCCGCAAAATACCTTCAGAGTACGTGCTCGGTAAATCAGTGGGTCCGAAAGTCCTGTGGTCTGAATCACGAGTGTAGGGAACTGGAGAAAATTTCCCTACAGTTCAATTCCAAGCCTAAATTGTGGATGTGGAGATCGGTGGTGTCGCAATCTATCGTTCCTTCGGGAATTTCTCCGAGTTAAATCGTACTGTCACCTGTTTGGTGCTCAAGGCTAAAGCCTAACGAGAGGGGTACTTCTAGCTCATTACCACGATGAAATTCGTGGGCCTCGATCTGACTCTGTCAGACAGGTGTGTGTGGCGGGAGCAACAACACATTAAATTTATTTAAATGCATTTAAAAATTGAAAAAAAGGAAGAAAAATGAACGAGGTTCCACCGAGATTTGAACTCGAATCACTGGATTCAAAGTCCAGCGTGGTAACCATTACACCATGGAACCACCTGCTGTTTGCTTCCACTGTTTTGTTTTGACTTATATCCCTGAATAACAAATTTGCAAAAGTATGTATTCACATAATTTTTCTCACGCAATATTATTACATAGTTATTGAATCTTTCAATAACACTCATGTCTGTTTTTTAAATGTTTTTCATTGGAGGCCAACCGAATGTATTGGCCCCAATCAATGAAAGAAATTTCAAAGATTTATAACCGTTTTAATTTATTTCGAGCTGTAAAACGATTTTTGATTAAGAAAAAACTTTAGTTTTTCAATCTTGTATGCTTACAAATTAAGTATGCTTATTATAATGAAAAAGACAATGATATGGAAACACAGTCCCTTTTCTCAGTTACGTCTGAAAATGAGATTTTAAATTCTTTCACGCGTTTTACTTTGGAGGAAAATGTTTGAATAATCATATTCATGTACTGAACATTTGCAGAACATTTTAGAATAAACTGAACAAGATCTGCTAAATATGTCTACATATTTTAATGTTATACTTTCCCATAAGACGTATGTCTATAACATACATTAAACTAAATTTATTTAAATGCATACAACAATTGAAAAAAAGGAAGAAAAAATGAACGAGGTTCCACCGAGATTTGAACTCGGATCACTGGATTCAAAGTCCAGCGTGCTAAACATTACACCAAGGAACCACCTGTTTCGAATCCACTGTTTCATTTTGATATTGAAAGCTGAGGGTAGTTTTTTCACACACATGAGATGATTTGAATTAATTCTGTCATGCCGACATAATACAGGTGTTTACATTTTCGCGCAAAGCCTTTAACAGTTTCTTTTCCAATTAGAACATGTATTGACCCTCAATGCTTACCCGCAGGATCGCGTTTTGCGCAGTGTTGTTTCTATAATCCAGTGCTCTCCAAAGAGAATATTTTCCAGAAGTTCTCTGAGTTTGTTCTACAAATTATTTCAATGAGAATCGCATTTCATGCAGGATAAGAAAATATCTTCTAAATCGTTTACACCGCTACAAGCATTGCATATAAAATATTTTGTAACTAAAATTTATGTTAGTTCTCGAATGATAATTATTCTACTGATGATTAAAGTGCTCAGAATCTCCTTTCTTCTATTCTTTGGCCCCAAGGAGATATTTTATTTATGGTCGGGATACTCCCAAATTTTAAAAATATTTTATATGGAAGTCTTTTGGAGCAAACCATTCGCTTTACACCTTAGAAACAGTTACAGGAAAGGAATTGTTCTTTGTTTGCCATTGTAGCTCCACAAACAACTGGAAGCTATACTAAAGCTATTGGCAATGGAACTCGTAATTTTGAACTACTTTCAAATGACAAAGATGACACTGACATGGAACCTTGCTTTCCAAGCCTTCCCATCGCCCAACTTGAAGATTTTGAGCCTCGAATGATTTAACGTGCATAAGCCCCTCCACATGACATCTCTTGTGACGCCAAGATTCTAACGTACTTAATACGCCGAGAAGGAAAAAAAAAAACTCTAAATCACCAAAAGTAAAAGTAACACTGTAAAGCAGCGGTCACCAACCTTTTTGACCTCATGGACTAGTAAATTCATAATTTAAAATCCTGCGGCCCACTAATAGGATTTTTAAGTGTTAAATATATTTATAAGAAAATTCTGATCTAAGAACACATAAAATGTACCTAGGTAATAAAATGAAACTACTAATTGCAACTAAATTATGAAAGCTTTATTAATAAACCATAATAAAATAAACAAGATCTGTAAAAACAAAACAATTGAAAAATGGTTTAAGCATTTTAGACTTTTAGCATTATACATTCCTAAAGTGATGGACGCTCCTGGTTACTTGAAATAAGATTATGGATATTTCGATCCAATGTTGTTTCTGCAAGACGTAGAACTGCATTTTTTCAAGGTGAGATTGGTAACGTATTTTCATGGCTGTGACAGACGAAAAGATCTTTTCACAAAAACAAATTGTGAAGAATTGAATCAGAATTTTCATCGCCTGTTCGCTTAGAAATGGGTATTCACTTTTTATGGAAAGTTAAAACTGATATCTTGATAAGGATGAACGAAATTTTTTAAATTGGAGTCTCGTCGGACCATAAGGCGATGCGGCTTCCTTTTATATGCATGCTTTAATTATCATCCTGAACTTTCGCTGCGTGATGAGTAAATATATTCCACATTGTTCTGGGGACGAGCAAAATTTTCTCGCGGACCACCACTTTGGCGACCTCTGCTGTAAAGCATGGTGGCGGATGAATTATAATACGAACTGCAGTAGGGTGAAAAGAGAATCATAAAAACGCGGCACTATAAAGCAACAAGAAAGTTATTAGAGGCGGAAGTCATAATTATGAACCTTGGTCAAGTCATGAAGACGACACTTGAGCTAGCATCACCTCTCCCAACTACCACACCTTGCCAACAGGAAGACATTGAGCACTAAACGTGCTTTGATCTTCTCTACACGGCGGGTGAAATGCAGTTTGGACTCAATAATATATTTTAATAAGCCCATATAGAGCCGGATCTTATAAGTTATTTTTTACAGCCTGGGGGTCTGTTGCAGGTACGAAAGCTTGTAGACGTATACGCTCAATTTGGAATTCTTTGTTATTAATGTCTATAGGAGCTTGATCTAAGTTAAGTTCGTCATGCTTAATATCACTTCAGGCCTAAACAATGCATATTTTCTTGCTATATTCTGAAACTGTTGGAATCTTTCTCGAATTTCAGCAGTTACTCTGTCTATTGAAGGAAACATAGTTCGCCTCAAGTAATCTTTGTTCGATAACTGAACATCTTTACTTCCGTCGCCAAATATATGCATCCCAATGATTCATCTTGGGGGTTCAAATAAGAAATTTCAATCTCTTCACGTAAACTTTTAGCATATATTAAAGCGTCATCCACGAATTCGTCTCGTTTTGCTTCTAACACGGTCTGTAAAGCAGGTATTTTTTTAGCATATTGATGGATATTTATTCCCTCTGTTTGCAAATAATTTTGAGCATCATTGACTTCACACAGTACCGATTGCCAGAAGCCTAAGTAACATAAAAACGAATGCGATTGCATAGCGACTAATGTCAGTTTCGTCACGAGGGCGCGATTTGGATTTTGAAATATTTTTTGAATTTAAATATTGCGGTGCTTTCCGTTCTTTTCGTATGCCGCCCAGAACCATGGACCCCACGCTATGTCACGGATCCAAATTTCCATTGATATCATTTTCATATTATTTAATTTCATAATATTTTTTTCTTGAAGTCAAATAAAACTAGTTAAATTATCTTAGAAATATTTTTACATTGCGCATTTGACTATATTTTAAAAATGAATCTTAGTGCAAAATTATTAGACAACGATATCAGGTAAAAATCCCCTTTCCCTTACGTTCACTGTACAAGCACCTGTAAAAATATATCGTGATTCAAATTAATCCTCTGTCTGCATCTGTGATACGTTTGCAGCTCCTTCACGAAATTCAACTGAGACACTGAGAAAGAACGCAGGTGGTTCCATGGTGTAATGGTTAGCACGCTGGACTTTGAATCCAGTGATCCGAGTTCAAATCTCGGTGGTACCTGGCTCATTTTTTCTTTCTTTTTTTCAATTTTTGTATGTATTTAAATAAATCTAATGTGTAATGTCTATTATAGACATACGTCTTGTTATGAGAAAGCATAACATTAAAATATGTAGATATATTTAGCATTTCTTGTTGTATTTATTCTAGAATGTTCTGCATATGTTCAGTACATGAATATGATTTTTCAAACATTTTCCTCCAAAGTAAAACGCGTGAAAGAATTTAAAATCTCATTTTCAGACGTAACTGAGAAAAAGGACTGTGTTTACATATCGTTGTCTTTTTCATTATAATAAGTTATAATAAGCATACGTAATTTGTAAGCATGCAAGAAGATTGAAAAACTAAAGTTTTCTTAATCAAAAGTTTTCTGACAGCTCGAAATAAATTAAAACGGTTATAAATCTTTGAAATTTCTTTCATTGATTGGGGCCAATACATTCGGTTGGCCTCCAATGAAAAACATTTAAAAAAAATAATAAGCACGAGTAACATTGAAAGTTTTAGTAACTGTGCAGTAAGATTGCGTGAGAAAAACTGCATGAATATGTATTTGAAATTTCTTATTCAGTGATATAAATCAAAATAAAATAGTGGAAGTTACGAACAGAAGGTTCCATGGTGTAATGGTTAGCACGCTGGACAAGTTCAAATCCGAGTTCAAATCTCGGTGGAGATTAATATATATATATATATATATAGGGAATTATTACATATATATATATTAATCTCGGTTACTCATATGTCCTTCATTGTGTGATTTTCCTACTGTCTATGTGTTTTTCGAATGTGATTGTTGGATGCTATCTCTTGTTTGTAGAGAATAAGCCTATATATATATATATATATATATATATATATATATATATATATATGTAATAATTCCCTCTAACATACTTTAATTAACTCTTTAATGATCTATAAATAATCTTTAATTCTCTTAGGTTTAAAAATAAACATTGTAATTTTAATCGTAATCGGCTAAGCTGATTTCCGTGTTCCGCGCATTCTGGCCAATCAGAGCTACTATTGCGTGGTAGTCGTGCGCTTGTGCACTGTTGGTATGTAGACGCAGGAATCTGATGTGATTGGGCTTTTCTCTGCTTGCCGCCATCACGTAAGATTGAAAAATACTTGCTGCTTTTTGTCTTTGTGTTGTGTCCTCCAAAATACTGCTGTCTACTCAATGTGAAAATAGAACGTAATTGTGCTTTAATCTGCTGATGTGTGCTCATAATAAAGGAGGTAAAGCTGTTCTGAAGATGTCATTACTAAATCAAAATTGATAATCTTCCACTCCGGCCAACACTACTTCAATCTATTACATATATATACATAGGCTTATTCTCCACAAGATATACTATATATATATATATATCTTGTTCAAATTTTCAATCGTTAATAAACTACTTTCTATTCATCCATTCAAATTCAAATACATTTTTTTGACCTTGTAGTGGATTACTTAATACAGTTTTTTCAAATATTAATTTATTAATTTAATTTTATTTTTTAATTTAAATTTATTTTCCATTATTTCCGTCGAAGTCTTACAGCTGGCTGTAACGGATGGCGCCAGTACGTTTTTCTAACGAAGTAGGAATTGACTTTAAATTTTTTTTATATTACATGTTACGGAGAAACATACGATTAACAAAAATTGCAACACAAAATAGTCTCAAAATTTATTGGCGCGAAACCATTTGGTCAACAACTAAAGTTTTGTTTTAGTTCTCATACTTAACTAGCTGTATCGTAAATTGGTAGACCCTAGTAGCTCTATTTTCTGCTCTCTAATTTATTTATTCTTTATATTATAAATTTAAAATAGTGTGGTTCTGTATATATATACCCTTGTATTATTGTTATAAACAACCGGAATTTGGAAGTACACAGTATGAAAGAAAAACGAGATAAACAAACAGCTGCACTAAAATATAACTGCAGTTTACTTTCTAAAAATGTTCTCTTCTTAAACATTTCAAAGTAAATTCAAACGCTTATAAATCTTTGAAGCTTATTTGCTTCTCATTTGTGTCTATACATTTCGTTGATCTGAGTTTCTAGCAGACCTAGAAAAACAGTCCTAGTTGTTCCTTAACTATCGGTCCTCTTCACCCTTAAAATACAATAAACAGAGCATTTGTATTTGAACGAATGAGACGTTACACACAAGATTCAGCAACTGTGCATTAAGATTGCGTGAGACAAATTAAGTGAATACATGCATGAAAAATTGTTATTCAGTGATTTAAGTCGAAACGAAATAGTGGAAGCAAACAACAGATGGTTCCATGGTGTAATGGTTAGCACGCTGGACTTTGAATCCAGTGATCCGAGTTCAAATCTCGGTGGAACCTGGTTCGTTTTTTTTTTTCTTGTTGTTTGAATTTTGATTATTACTAGAAAAAAATTAGGATATATATATATAAGAAAAAAAAAGCAAGCGTAGGAAATGAGATTTCAAATTGATGAAGTTTTTATTATACATTGAAGGATTTCTTTCCTATGTTTGATTTGATTTTTTTGCAAGCTTGCTACAGACCTAACAATTTTGGATCACCATCAAAAACAACATTTTAGCTCGAATTTAACACTTCAGATCTCCAAAATACTCTAAAGTACTTTGATACCCCGACAGATTGAACATGCAACAGTCCTGCGACGCGATTGGTCATAAGTTGCGTCCCAGGCAAATCGTGACCCATGATTCGTCAATTACAAGGTCGTAGCTTTCATCGGACTCGTACGAAGGTCCGATTATGGTATTTTATTAATGATGTACTCTGAATCAATGCGAGGACTATTGCGGTCAGAATTTCTAATCTTGAGTTTCGATCAAACAATAAGGATGATACGAATGAGGTGTGTGATACTCCACTCTCTCTCTCACCAAACTTCCATATCCCGTCAACGAGAGTACTTACCACGGTCTGATGTAATGTGTAAATGAACTATACTCGATAAAGTGAAGAGTATTGATATATTACTTAATAAATTTATGACTGAAGTTGTGAATGGCGTTTGTGGAGTTGTACATTAAATGATATATATAATTTTTTTCGAAAGGTAAATTATAAAATCCGAAGATGAAGGGAAAAAAGGATTGATGTTAGTATTTTCAAAACAAGAAATATTGGAAAAGAATAAAATTTTATCAAGTATTATATGAATGTGTGCATGCTATTACTTTAGAAAGAAAAAAAAATACTGGTTGTATATTATGAGAATTAAACCGATTTCACACACAACAGTGCATGTGTGAATAACTATGAAAAAAAAACCGAAAATAAATAAAAAAATCTCGAATTACAATAAAATAGCAGAACTTTGGATGATACTTGGCGATGTCTCTAAATTTGAAACTTGCATTAGAATTGAGATAACGCAAGAAACCCAGAATAAAAAAAAAATCAACGAGCTTAATAAATAACCTTTTTTTTAAAATCCGAGATTTTAAGTTAAAAAAAAGCATAAAAAATATTCGGTAGGGATAAGAAATTTAAAACAATATAAAGTGTTTCAAACTTAAATTATTCAGCAATGAATTAGGAAACGCAATCTTTCAATTAATCAAATCAGCGAAATTATTCCCAAAATCAGAAATTTGATAATTTTTATGTTTGTATATCTCAGTTTTTTTAATTATAAACTTTTACAAAAAGAAAGAGAGAGAAAGCCGAGGAAAAAAACATAATTCAGGTTCCACCGAGATTTGAACTCGGATCACTGGATTCAAAGTCCAGCGTGCTAACCATTACACCATGGAACCACCTGTTTATAAAACAACATTTCTAGATCATCTAAAACTAAATTAATTCACTCGCGCCATCTTTAGGTGTTTACGACGTCATAAAATATTTAATGTTCCATCAAAAGAGCCTTCTCGTTTCTACGCAAAACAAATACATGTAATGGTTTGTTTTCATAAAATATCTCCTACTGTGTATATCCCATTTAATTAAATTTTGAAATTAAAAATCATGTATTTATTGGCAAATAACCTAAAATAAATTATAACAAGTAATATATAAAAAAATTTTTTTAGTCAATTCCTACTTAGATAACCAAAGAAAATTTTTATTTTAGTTACTTTTTATGAAATAGAGTTACAAATTAATATAAATATGTATATACATAGGACAGAATCACAACATTAAGTGATAATTAATTTTTATTCATTATCATTAAAGTATCGTATTATCATCCAAAACAATCGTGTCTATAAAATTTCAGTTCAACTGAATGCTTTAAAACGTGAGAAAAAACCTTTTCACAAGTTTTGACACAAGTCGCAAAAAGGGTCGCTAAGTCGCCAACGTGGCTGTATTTGTAATTCTTTGAATAATTAATTTTAATCAATTAATTTTTATTAATTATAATTAAATTGTTTTGTCATCCAAAATAATCATGTATATTAAATTTTAGCTCAATGGAGCGCGTTAAAATGTATTTTATTAACGATTGAAAATTCCACCAAGATAAATAAATAAATAAATAAACATATAAATAAATAAATATATAGAGAGTGTGAGAGTTAATAGTGTGTAGGAATTGAAAAAAGAGAAGACTTAGTCACACATATATATTTGTGTGTGTGTGTTTCTTTCACAATGACAGAAATTGATGAATAACTATAAAAAGCAAATTCGAAAACAGTAGCTGTCAAGTTGCAGAGCGAATAAATGCTCATGTATGCAAAAAGAGAAAAGGGTGGGGGGGGGAAGTCCCGTAAAAAAGCCTTTTCCTAAAGACGCTTCTTAGAACCGCTGTGATTGTTCTGTAAAAAAAGATACCTTAAATTCTTTTGTCCTTATGAAGGAAAATTTATAATTAATTTTTTTATAAATATTTCTAAAAGAGCAATTTCAGAAACCACAAACGTAGAATGCTCTTACAAATTGAATTTAAAATTGTAATAGAACAATAAGTATTTTAAATATATTCGGAACCATTCGAAAAATAAACAGCCAGTGTTTAATTTGAAATAAAGCACATTTAAAAAAAACAAGGATTGCTATAAACTTATCAATCCATATCTTTTTTTTTTTTTCTTTTTTTTCTCCAATTCTTATATTTACATAGAGATAGCACTTTTTTCGTCATTTACTTGGTGAATAAACCAAGCCATATCTCGGTATAGATCAGAAGTTGCGGTGTCCTTTCATGTCCAAGAAAACATTTAATTTCGGTCTCTAAATTATCGCGTGACGTTGAACATAGATTTAAAGTGACATGCCAGTTCAGATGTCTCTTTCTGTCAGATTTAGGGGGAGAATTCAACATGCATGAATTTTTCGTTTAATATTAGAGTTTGCAAAACTGTCGACTATTTATGCACTTACAAGGAAAGTACAAGGTTTTGGGGTTACGAACTTATTCAAATTTTGTAGGATAGTTGATTTAGTTTCCTGTTGATGAAGATATATGGTTATAGAGGCCACCTCAATAATATTGTTAAGAATTTTGAGTAAAATAGTGTAAATAATTTGTACTTGGATGTGTGATGCATTTATCTTACTCTATGTTATGTTTATTTTATTGTAATATTCGCAAGCAACGCCGTCTCTTACGTTGTAATAGCGATTCAATGGAGATTTGGCGAACTCTTGGCTATAGAGCCAAGTTGGCATCATTTTTGGTGATCATATTGGCGACTTTGGTGACTATGTTGGGGACC